TATTCGCGGGACGTATAGCCATATGACTAATCCATATGCTGTGCGATTCCCGGAGACCATTGTGTAGATAGCCGACGGCACCGACTATTTGTCGAAACCACTCCCTGGCCATTGGTTCCGATAGTCGTCTGTTAACTTGTTTCTGCTGAAGGCTTTCCAGCGACTCGTCTATTATCTTCAATAGAAAGCAATGGTATAGAAAAGGAGTTCCTGTTTTGAGGTCGGGTAGACTGAACTCATGGATCATTTTGATGACATTGTCGTGGTTTAGAAGTTGTAATGTTTTGCACTCTTTGTATAGTGATGTGATGGCACCGTAGATATTGTTTGGATATCGTTTGCAAAGATAGCGAAGGCTAACCACTTTCATGGTATGGTATGTATTGGTCCGGGTATTCAACACTTGCCAATCATTGTCGTAGGTGTCCATACATTGCCATACATCTGTTCCTCCATTGAATACACAAAACTAAGACATTGTGTCCGAAAGTGTTTCCAATAATACTGACGCCACTGAAAGAAATGCAGATATCGCTGATTATCATTAGTATTGTACAGAAGATAATCGATGTTTGGACACAACTGTCGGTATAATTGTGCGCTGATATCACCCGTCGATTGGCTTTTAATTAATTGTTTTAACGATTCATTGATTATAAGACGAGCTTTCAGTTCATTAGTACTCGTTATCATTGTCTCCAAATTAGATTGTTTTCAATTTTAATGAACACTTTATTTTAATTAATTTTTATATTTATATACCGATATATTTGGTGATTTCATTGGAAAACAGCATTTTATGTATACCAGTATTACTAAATGCTTTTAATATATTGGATTTGATGTTAAAATTATAAGTTTGGTATTTTCCATAATAAAGGTGAAAATATTGAAAAATAATTAATTTTTATTGAAATTATTTTTCAAAATATTATACATGAATATATTTGAATATATTGTATGTTTCTCTTAACATCTAGTGCCAAACTTTGAATTTAACTTTAGATTTTGATACAAATAACCCATTTAATTGAATGTGTGGTTAAAGCGTGTTAAATAATGGGACTGACTTTTTGGCACACCGGGCACACTGGGCACACTGAAAGCGAGAGAGCTTATAATTTTTTAATATTATTATAAAATATTAATTTTTTATTAATTTTATACAAAGTATGTAATGTAGATTATAGTGGCACACTGGGCACACTCGGCACACTGAAAGCGAGAGAGCTTATAATTTTTAATATTATTATAAAATATTAATTTTTTATTAATTTTATACAAAGTATGTAATGTAGATTATAGTTAAATCAGTTAATAATTTAATAATTTTAATTGTAATTACATATAAATAGCTCTCTCTCCCATTTAGGACCACGTAATTGGGAGAGAGAGCTATTTAAACATGATTTAAACTACAACACCAAGTATTGAATATAACTTTCTTATTCAAAAATGTATTAGGGTACCACCAGCCAGTACATTACATAAATTGTTTAGTTGCCGCTACAATATAAATTGCCAATTCGCAAACAATTTGACTCGCTCAAGCAACTAAATAATAATAATACCATATTGTGTTATAATTATAATTCTCATTTTACTATTTCTAAGGATAATAACATATCTGAGCAATCAATTTCAAATATTTAATGTAGATTATAGTTAAATCAGTTAATAATTTAATAATTTTAATTGTAATTACATATAAATAGCTCTCTCTCCCATTTAGGACCACGTAATTGGGAGAGAGAGCTATTTAAACATGATTTAAACTATAATTATTAAATTATTATTAATTTAAACGATAGTATATCATAGTCTTTCTATAAAAAATTAATAAAAAATTAATATTTTATAATAATATTAAAAATTATAAGCTCTCTCGCTTTCAGTGTGCCGAGTGTGCCCAGTGTGCCCGGTGTGCCAAAAAGTCAGTCCCCAATTTTACTAATGAAAAGTATTACTGTATAAAAATGTTTTACTGTTTATAATTTGAATGCAGAATAATCTAGGAATTAAAGTTGATTACAGTAACAAACTCTTGAAATATATATACCTTAAGCCAACACATCTATACGTTACTAACCTTTGCCCCCTGGTTAAACTTGTTTGTAATACACGACACATCTTTACTGATGTTTCAAATTGTACAAGTGCAGAACCTAACTATTTGAAAATTAACCACATTCCAAACCAAACCAAAGTTTATTAACTTAATTGTTAATATTATTACTTTATTATGAACTCAATTAAGTTAATTTAATAGAGAATTAGTTTAATTTAATGCATAATTTAGTAAATTTAGTCTGTAATTAAGTTAATTTAGTACAAAATTAATCTAGTTATAAATTAAATTAACTTAATTATAAGTTTAATTAAGTAAGTTATAAACTAAATTAACCTAATTATGGACCAAATTAAGTTAATTATAGATTAAATTTAAGTTAATTTACTCCATAATTAAATTTATTAAACTTATAATTAAGTTAATTTAGCTAGTTAATAAAGTAATAATATTAACAATTAAGTTAATAAACTTTGGTTTGGTTTGGAATGTGGTTAATTTTCAAATAGTTAGGTTCTGGACTTGTACAATTTGAAACATCAGTAAAGATGTGTCGTGTATTACAAACAAGTTTAACCAGGGGGCAAAGGTTAGTAACGTATAGATGTGTTGGCTTAAGGAATACTCTGATTCAAATATTAAACTTATGAAAATAATCTGATTTTAAGACTAGGTTTTATTAATCTGAAGTAATTTGTATTTAAATTACTTGTGATAACTAGGGTTGCCAACTATTTGTGTGGCCTGGGAGGACAAATAGTCAAAATTGATCCTGACCAGGAGGACATTGGGATGACAAAATTATAAAAATGTTTAATTTTTAATATTGCTATAAATTTTTACTACTAGTGGTCACATTATAATTACAATTCCAATCCAATACCCTAGAAATAGTCCCTGTAACAATTATTTCATAATTTGTTTAAAGAATAATTACAAACTCGCAGTTATTTTCGTGAATTTCGGAAAGTATTTCAAAATTAAATGAATATTTTTCATTATTTTGACAATTATCTCTGGGAAGACATTACATTGTCCTCCTGAGACCCGAGGGAGGACTATTTTTGAGGGACCGATTGGAGGACAATCCTCCAAAAGGAGGACGTTTGGCAGCCAATGGGGATAACTTATATTTTATAAATACTATAATTGTAATAAAGTTATTGTCAAACCTGATGCCACTTCTAATATCTCTTTGAGACCCGGATTGTAATCCCCGTCCGCACAGTCAGCAAACACAGGGACTGCGCCAACAAATGTGACTGAATTGGGAACGGCTACCATTGTCATCGACGGCATTATCACCTCATCACCACTTCCCACATGCATTGCCTGTAGGACTACCATTAGAGCTGTGAACCCATTACTGCACGGCTGAGCCACTGGACAGTCGTATATCTTTCGCAACTTATCGGACATCTCTTTGGGCCAAAACCCGGCCGAAGACACAGAACCCGAGACCAGCGCCTGAATTACATTATCTTTGCCCTCATTTGGCATATAAGGCGCGCAGACATGATATCGCCAGCCCTTTGAGGGGAAAGGAGGCTCCGGATCGGGAACATAGGGCAGGGCTTGACATTTGACATTCAGGTTATTCTCAATGCATTCTGTCATCAATTGCTTCACATTTATCTTTAAAGTCTTCAAATCATCACTTATTTCCTCCCAATTCTCAATACGATCTGATGGAGGAGTCTGTGGTTTGACAGCACCGGGACTCGTGAAGACATACTGTTCCATATCACAGCTCAAACGAGACATGATTTTCCGCAATTCTCTCAACGGATCAGCTATGAGATCGTCATAAGAGACATATATCGGGATTATATCGATAGGCCATTGACTGCCTATTTCTCTCCAATCATTCACTAAATTCTCGTAATATTCGCGCAATTCTTGGTCTAAAATAATAGTCTTTTCTTTACCATTATTTCTGTTAATCCCATAATCTTCCGCGCCTTCAAACCAAACGCCAGTCTTTTCAGCAATTCTTAGGGACACTAACTGTTCGGCAATGGATTTACGCCACAAGACTATCACCATATCTGCACCGATATGTCTGACGATATCATCAAAACGTAACTTTCTCTTCAATATCTGTTCGGGAAATACCTTAAAACCAACAAATTTCTGATCATATTTTGCCAACTCTTTGCCCATATATTTGAGGGCATCCTCTGGTATAATGTTTTCATCATTGAGTAGTTCACCGGCCAGTCCTATGTCCGCATGACTTCTCAATAAGTTTGCCAAATATGTGGATCCAGTCCTCGGGTTCGCTAACAGCAGAAAACGTTTCATATTTCCACTCATCTAACAATCTGATCTTGAGCCAAATTAAGTTAAACCTCACTTTAAAATGAAATATAAGTTAATCATCTCTTTATATATACTATGAAAGTTAGAAAAATAATTTCCTGTTCACATCAGTTTAATTGATCAATTCATGATGAACTGCAATATTAAATTTCTACTATTTTTATTTAATATCATATTTAATTTTGCAAATAACGTTAAAATTAAATGCTACTAATGGACTTAGCTTTTACAGTTAATTATTTTTGTTAATTTTTTAAAAGAAAAATACATTTCTCAGAATTATATTGAAATTCTACAATTATATTGAATTATTTCTATAAAATTTAATATATTTTTATGATTTGTTCCTGACATGTTTCTCATGATTAAGAATAAGGGAAATTTTTTAAAAATAATTTTTAAAAAGTCTTTTTATACATTATTATTTTGAAACAAAATCTTCAACACTAAAATTATTTATTTATTTGTGTTAAAACATCCATTTTTCTACATAAGTTTACTATCTATATATTTGATGAATATCCTGGCTAACATTAAGGCAGTGTTGTCTAAATTATTAAAAAACAAAAAACATGTTGCACATAATTTATTTATGTCTTATAGATTATCAGTAGATAAAGCTCTTTACAAAAACAAATATCATTACTATTTTTACTGTATTCACAGTCACCTGTAAATGGGTAATTTTAAAACATATATATTGCTTTTCAGTATAGAATTACAGTTTTAAAAATGTTTACACACTCAACTAATTGAATCTAATCAGATACATTTCTATAAGTTAGTCAATATTTCACACATAAAAATACTAAAATAAATACTTTATTTCAATATTACAGTTTATAATTTTCTGTTAATACTTTATAACTCTCACTGACACTAATGTGTACTATATTTGTGAGCCTAAACCTTGAAGGATATTAAAAACGTGTGAGAGTTTGACTCCCAATTTGACTCCTTAGACAGGTCTGAGGCCTTAATGATTAAGGCTTTGCTCGAAAATTATGATTTATAAAAAACTTCTTAAACCCTATTTCTTATTCTTACTTATGACTTGTTGAAAATATATGAGATATTACAATATATACAAATACATATATATATATATACAATATATATATACATATTGTATATAAATATATATACAAAATATACAATAATTTGAAAATTCATAAATTATGTGGTCCGGTAGTCCACTAGGTTAGATCATTACAGGTCTTACAGTACTGTACAATGATGACCACAATTATTTTGTCAGTGGTATTGTACAATACATGTATATTTCACAAACCATAGTTATAAACAATGATTTATTATTAAATTTAATCAAATATATAATTTATCAATGTTTGTATAACTAATTTTTATTGAACCATATCATAAATTATGACTTACAATATAATGAATTATAATAGTATTTAATTTTTTAATATAGATATTTTATCTAATTTTTTAAACAAACTAATCAGTGTTACAAACAAACTTACTATTGTATGTGATACAATAATTTTTATAAACTATAAAGTGAAATATTATTATAAAATGTGAGATATAAAATCAAATGAAAACATTTGGTCAGGTAGTTCATGAGATCATACTGTAACACTGTTTAGTATTAATCATTGGCACATTCATTTGAATTGGATCCTCAAAAACATCGTTTCTAAATGAAACATGGTAGGTTTACATTTATAATATTACACTATTACAATATTAAATTTGAATAAATATTTAATATCTCGTATGAGAGATCACCAAATTGTAATACGCAATGAACTACTGTTAAAATGACCACAATTTTTAAGCCATGTTATTTATTAATTAATCAAATGAAAAAATAAACAGAGTTAATATTTCTATTTTTTATAATTTAGCAAGATTGTTACTGTGTAATAAGATATAATTATTTTAATAATCCACTATTATAGCATCACTAATGCCTTTTAAAATAGTTTGCATTAAAATATTTTCATTTAAAATTTGTTTTACTTTCCCGGTTGAGATATTATCGCCCAATTCATAGTCCATTGAATCCCAGTCCTCATCTCTAAAGCTGTATATAAATGCTGGGATGGCATGTGTTTTGCATAATTTCATTATACAATCCAAATACAGGTCAGCCCCCAATACTTCACGACTGATACCAAACTCACCCAAAACTAGTCTGACGTTAAACTTTTGTGACCATTGAATAGTAGGCAAGAATTTATCCTGAATATAGTTATCATTGATTTCAATCATTTGCGGATATTTGGAGGATTCATAATCAGGTATTTGTGAGGGAAATCCGAAACGATTTTTATTTTGTTGTCTTTGAGTCAAAAGCATGGGTTCATAGAAATGAAAGGAAACCAAAATGTTTGTGTCGATAGTCAGCAGGTTTTCTATGGATAACTTGGGAATGGCGTCGACTGTCGCCCAATAACTCGATTCAATGATAATCGGAGTTATTTTGTCGACTTTACGGATGGATTCAATCATTTCGATATATCGTGACATTAGTTCCGATAAACCTAAGTTATAAAACAAATAATAATTTTTGAATTTAGTATTAGAATAATTAATGTTTATAATTTATAATAGTACAAATGGTTATTAATAATTACCAGGATCATTGTCAACGAACTCGTATTGTTCTTCCAATGGAGTGAAGGGTTCATTAATGAGATCATATCCGACGACATTCTCCTCTGAATACAAATTCTTTGCAATGAATTC